TTCCCTTCATTTCTTATCCAAAAGATCCAGAGCAGCTTAAACCAAAACCCATCCCAGCTGATCTGCTGCAGAAGAATCTCCTCCCTGCTCCCCAAAGGAAATGACAGAGAGGAACGTAACTTATAAGCTAATGAAGGTGATAAGACACAGAACTGAGCAACAGACACCTTCCTCCTCCCCTATCAACACATTTTTTACATCATGAGCTTAGTTTTTATTCTTATTAGTTTTTATTATATTTTGTGTGCATGAAGATGCAAGGAAAGCCTGGATAGAACTGAGAAGAGCCAGTTAGCTGCCTCCCTCCTCCTTCATATCACTCTGTCTAGAGGACTTGCTGAGCTCTCCTATATGCTCTTTCAGATGCAGGGGCTGTGAAACACTTGAAATCTCAGACTTCCAGGTGTTAAAGCACTTAAACTTATTGTTAAAACAATAGGAAGGCTCCATATGGCATTGATTCCTCACCTGTATGGTCCCGTGCCAAGTATGTTCTACACTCTTCCCCACCTTCAACTGTTTCTAAGTGGGTTACTTTAATGTTGTAGTGACTGAAGTTTGAATGTAAGGAAACTTACCAGATGGAGGTTTAAGAGCAAAATTAGGAAGCAGTTCTTGTTCTTAAGTTGAGGTATCCTATACTAAATATCCTCGAATACATTAACAGCAGTTAAGATTTTCATCAGAGAAGGATTAAATGGGCAGCCATTTGCCCATCCTGTTCCCCTTTCCTCCCTGCTGCTTCTCCTGTTGTTCATTCAGTGCATATGGGAGCAAATCCTGCCTGCCTCTAAGACTGTAGCAGCACAATTAACAGTATTAAGAATGTGGTGCACCAACCACTCAGTCCATCCCTTGAGCCAGAGAAAGAGCCTTCTCACCTTGGTGGACAGCAATCACAGGTAGGAATACACCAGAGGCAGCAGGCAAACGTTGCTTTCCCATGGCTTTCCCACTCCAAGATTTTCCACCTCTCTTCTGGAACTTGCTGGCCAAGCCATGCCCTGACAAATCCTACCTTGGATTTGTTACCTCTCCTCTGGGACAAAGAGGGCAATGATGAGTTGGTACCAAAGTTAAAGTACTTTCAGTCTTGGAAGTATATAGTAATTTTTTTTTTTTTTTAATAACAAGTTCTGGCTTCTTCAGGAAGGCCCTGCAAGGAGATACATGAGTTGACTTGATATCTGTATCATGTCTTTTAACCCCAGGCTCTGTGGGTGATCAACTGCTTGCTTGATCTTACCTCTTTTCTTCTATCCCTGCCTCTTCTGTTTGCTCCTTGGAGGAGAAAACTCATCCTCTGCAGGCCTGTGGCCAGCGATGGGAGCCTGTTCGTGTCTTGAGAGAGGAGGTGTACTGGCATTACAAGCAGACTGTAGCTGTCCACTGCATGTGCAGTCAGTCAGCCTCAGTTTCTTTGAGGATTTCCTCCAATGAAATGTTTTTGATAAGGAAAAGACTTCAAAGTTTATGCCCCTCTTTAGAGGGTTGTTCCTGTTTCCCTCTGTGGCAATTAGTAGGGAGTTCATTCCCTTCTGCCTTGTGTTTTGAGATAATTTAAAGCCAGCTGAGCAAGAATAGGCTGCAAAGCTCTGGGGAGAGAGAGCATGTCTTGATGCTGGTGTATCAGCGCTCCAGAAGCATTGAGTGTTGTGGAAGAGGTGAGGAATACGGACTTTGCCTTAGAGACTGGAGTGGCCTGAGCAGTTGTGGAATCGGGAGGTCAGAGAGTCCTTTCCAAGCTATGTGCCTAAATACCAGCGCTCTCCTGGGGAGGAACTATAGGCAGCTACAACACTAATAGCACCCACATTGTGAGGGGGTGTGAAGTGTGGCTAGAGGAGCATTAGGACCTGGTCTGTTTATGTTCTGGCTCTGTAGCAGCATCAAACTGCATCTGATTTCACTGCCCTCCGCTTCTGCGGGGAACAGATTTCTCCGGGCAGTTTTTTTCTTTCTCCATTCCTTGTGCTCCAAATGAAGGAGACTGCCGAGACTAGAAGAGGATTTACTTAAGTTCACGTGAAGGAGGTGGTGTGATCTCTCTTTTGTGACCAGCATTCAAAGATCACTCGGGCTGATGTGATCTATAAAATAAATTTTAAAAAAAGTTTGTTCGAAGTTAAAAACATGTCTTGTTGCTTTTTGTCCTGCTGGAAAAGCAGTGCTCGCAGCCCTCGCGCCGAAAGCCAGAACAAGAGTGTGTGTCTGGCACCACGCTCCTTTGCTAGCCATGAAAGGGGGCTGCGCTTGAGGAAGGGGCTCCCATCCCTTCCCTGCCCCTGATCCTCTGTGTGTGTGTGTAAAGTGCTGCTAGAGCAAATCATTTGGGGCCAGCTGCAGCTGGGGCACTTTATCTGACTGCAGGAGGTGGGTTATTCACTGCTTACACAAGCTTGAGCTCGCTGGGCCCTCACAGGGGCCTGCACCTCTCCTGTTTCTGTAAATAGTGGGACTCTCCAGAGCTTGGGACCGGCCTTTCCCTGCTGCTCTGGTGGCTCTCAGTGGGAACGGGCGGTCCCCAAAGGCCCCTGGAGCGGGTCTGCTGCTCCCGGTGTGCCTGCGCTTGGGCCTTTGCTGGTCAGCACCCGCCCTCTGTCCCTTGGCTGTGTTGTCAGTGTATTCAGATGCACTCCCTGCTCTCCAGCCAGATCTACCTCCTGTCCCCAGTGAGGCAGTGGCCAGTAGCAAACGAGCCTCCTTTGGGCATGGTTTTCTTCTGAAGAGCTGCTGGAAATCCCTTCATATGGAGTCTGCCTCTGGCCCCTCATGTTCCAGTTGACACTGGTGGGATTCCCCCTTCCCTGCTCTTGTAGCTATTTTTAGACTCCTGGTTAACTTAAGCTGAGTATAAAATACTCCCTTTTCCCTTGTTCTTATCCTGCTGCTGAATAACTTGTATCCCATGTTAAGGAAAAGGGAGTAATGTAGAGCTAACCTTAACTGAGTTATGTGTCAGGTCTTGTCCTCAACCTCCTCCTCCTCAAGCCTCTTCTATGCCTCTTTATTGCCCAGGTGTTCAACCTGTGACAAGGGGCAGCTGTGGGGTTGAGCTGGACCTTTTAGTTCAGCACGACAAACTCAGCAATTCTGCTGCAATCACTGCCCAGGGTAGATCAGGACGTGAGTGCTACACCACCCTGGGGCTTGCCTGAAGAGTGGGGAGCAGAGACCTTACCCTGGATTAAGAGCTGTGCCTTCCCTCCCGCCACAGAGTAACTGGGAATTGCAGCCTGGGAAGCAAAGCCCGGGCAGCAGCTCAGTGAGGAGCAGAGCTGCTGCACTGCTCTGGGCTGCCACGGCGTGCACGATGCCGCCCTTTGATGGAGGTGGCCTAAGAAATACAAGGCTGGAAGAGGACATCTGTCCATCATTCTTCCACGAATTCCTTCAGGAAAGGAAGTTAAAGGCTCCATAAAAGCAGGAGCTGCAACTTTGCACTATTACATCATTTTTTTTGTCTGCTAGTTGTACATCTTTTTCACTAGTTGAAGGCACCTGTAAAACACAGAGAAGGCTAAGATTTTTTGCTATAATTTATTTTCTTTTTTTTTTCTTGCATAGGCATAAATTACAATCTGTTGATTAAAAAATGAACAAAACAGTGCAGCATTTTGCAACAGGCTACAAAATCCAATACAAATTTATCTCCTACCCTGTAACCACCCATTTATGCAGGGCTAATTTATAACACTTGTATAGGGGCAAACCGAGAACGAAGGGAAAATAAAGGAGGCAGAAGGAGTGAATAAGGGAAGGCTGCTCTGACAGCTGCTTCCTTGCTCTGGTCTCACCTTGTTCATCTTGTGTATCAGCACTAGGCTGAAGGAGCTGGGGGCTAGAAGATGCTCCAGGCTGACAGTGGCAGTATTGTATGCCCTCTCCTTCCTTGCAGCTGTAGAGTGTAGGAAAAGTGCTCCAGAAATGGAAAGAGGTGCCTCGACGGGCACTCGGTGCTTGCGCTGCAGCCCAGACCCCCTACCCAGCTCCAGGCCTGATAAACTGCACTTGACCTTCCTGTGTCCGAGCTCAGCACGCCCAGCGCAGTCAGCACGTGGAGGGCCCTAAAGCCAGTGCTAAGGACCAGCGAGAGGCAGAGAGGACAGCGTTTCCTCTCCATCCAGGGGGTTTCACCCGGCAACATCAGAGACTGAGCTCTCTCCCGCAAGGACCTTCCTTTCCTTTCATCACCCGGGGACCCCAGCAAGCTCCTTCTCTTAAAGCAAGCAGCTCCACAGCCCTTGGCTAGCGGTTAGGAGAGCCTTGGAAGGAGCAGAGGGGCCTGGTTCCAGCTCCATCCGCAGCGGAAAGAGGTCCCCTTTTCCTACCTCTCACCATGGTGCCTCACTTACAAAAAGGTCATTTTCCTTAGGCAAGCGCTCTCCCCCTGGCTGTCCAGGGCCAGGGAGCCAGAAGGGATATGAGAAATACGGCCTTCTAGCCACGTGGTTATGGTATTTGCTCTGACAGACACAGAGCCGCTATGAGGAAGGAGGGTCCCATCTCTGCGTGCCAGCAGTTTCTCATCAGATGAAACACAGAGCCCTGTGGAGCCCAGCAAGGCCTAGGCATTTGCAGAAGCGCTGCTCTGTGCACAAAGGGCGCTCCAAGGCTAAGCAGGCAGCTGCAGGCAAGTTTAAAATAACTTTGGCTGTAGATGCCAAAAATTGAGTCTAAGCTCAATATAGGACAGAATTTATCGTCACTGGCTGCGGGTCTGCTCTCTTCTGGCAGCAGAGGCCTCCAAGAGGCTCCACGGGATAACTGTGGAAGTGGGACTATACCGCAGGGATCAGGAGTGCACGCTGGTTTGCTTTCTTGGAAATGGAAGACCCACGCAGAAAGGCAGCGTTGCCACCTCACCCTCGTGGGTAGCACTAAACGCATGTAGATGGGAGAAACCTCCTCAACTCCTTCCCCTGCACCACGTCCCTTTGCCCCCCTGTGTTTCAGGCGGAAAGACCAGAGCAGGAGCCAGTTTCCCTTGCTCTCCCCAGCACTTGCATTGCTTGAGAAAGGTGATGCCAGCAGCAACCTGCCAAAACGATGGCTACGAGAGCCCTTGGCTTCTCGTTCATCTAAAGACAATCCAGTGGGGATGTCACAAACACTATCCGAGAAGGCAAGCTGAACTAGCGTGCAGCCGGGCGCTCGCTCCCATTCCCCCTGCCGCATGCAGCGATCGCGCTCCGCAGACGTCCTTCCCTTCTGCCCCGGCCTGTGCACGCGAGGAGAGGTCGCGCAGCGCATGGCCCCACGCGCCCCAGCACAGCGGCCTGTGTGCAGATGCACCTACAGACAAGCGGTCACGGACACAAGCTGCCCGCACCCCTCATGGGTCCTCCAAAGGCAGGAAAGCGGGAGCAGCCGCCGGCATCGCGCTCCACAGCCGTCCACCATGGACGTTGTCTTATTGGGCCCAGCCACGAAGCCGCTCGGGCTCGAGGCCCAAGCTTTTAAACAGCTCTGCTGCTCCTAGTCTAGTCTAGCTTTCTGCGCACACTAGTCTCCTACTAAATAAAGCTCTAGCCCGCTCTGGGCCTAAGCCGCTCGCCCGAGCGGTACCACATGACAGAACATTCACCAGTTGAGTAGAAACTGCATGGAAGAAGTTTTTCTTTTGTTATTACAAAAAACGGCCCTGACACCCTCACCTCAAACCAGCCCTCCCCCCTTAGAAAACCACAGAACAGACTCCAAAGGGGAAGCAGGCGCCAGGAGCTGTCAATAGTGACACTCAGCAGCTGGCGGCCAAGCAGCGCGGGGCACGCGTACCAGCCCTGACACCACGGGGAGGGCCACACGGGCCGCACGCCGCGTCGCGGGGCCAGCGCTGCCTGTGGCGGGCGGCACCGCGGGGGGGGCGACGGCAGCGCTGGCTGCACAGCCCCCAGAGTCTTTACTTTTCCCTCTCCACTACCCTGAATCATTTTATACTAATACTGCATTAATACTGCCTTACTTCCCTTCTGCAAGCCAGTTTTAAAGACCTGGGGACTTTCAGCGAGCCAAGGCCAAGCAGAAGGACTGCCCCAAGCAGAAGGGAGGTGACAGTGACACGAGATGCGCTGGTCGTGACAAGCTCCCCATATACTTTGACACCCCCAAGCTGGTCTCCAAGGCCACGCACGCTGCAACATGCCCAAGCCTGCATGCAGCAGGATACATTACATACACCTCCCACAAGCCATGGGAATGTTACGTGCGCCATTAGAAATGAGGTGGGGAAAGAGGGGACACGTGGACTACACAGACCTGATAAAAAGCTAGCTTAAAAAGTTGAAGTGTCCCATACGCGCGGAAAATAACCCAGGCCGTGCTAGAACCCACACAGGATGTTCTTGCCTTACCACCCCATCCTCTGCAGCCTACACTCTTCTCCCCTAAATACCAATTTTCCCCTCTGCAAGCGGCAGCACAGAAAAGCTGAAGGGGAACAAGTTCTCCAGGGCGGCTGCTTGCACCTCCCAGGACTTTTTACATGTGAAGTGGCAAAAAAATGGATGGATTCTCTCTCTCGCTCTCTTCCCAGGCAGCATCCTCCCCGCGCCACCATCCCATAGTGCCTGTGCAGGACCCGGGGCAGCCGGCCGGGACGGACGGTCTCGGGGGGTCAGTGCACTGGCTCCCCGTGCACACGGAAGCGGTAGATGCAGGTGTACTCAGGGTGCCCCCAGTTGCTCAATATCCGGAGCTCCACCAGCTGGAACGTGCCCAAGTCTTCACCCTTGGCAAGAAGGGAGAGAGAGGGAATGTTTCAAGGCAGGAAGGGAAACATGCACCTGAGCCCTTGAGATAGGGAGAAAGCATCCCTCAGATTTCAGGTGCCACACGTCCTGCCAGGGACGTGAGCTGGCCTGGGGCCCACGTACAGGAGCAAAACTTGCAACATCCCCTCCCAGAATGACAGGAGCCTGAACAGCGACTCCTCATGGGCAAATCTTCCAAGGACCAATCAGGCACCTTTAGGATGGCTTTGTGCACCTCAAATCCTCCACCCTGGCATCACTGCCAGTTCTCTGCCTGGCTGCAGAGCCCCTGCACCACCCCACACCTCACCTTCAAGTAAAACGTCTGGATGGGATCGCCATCGTGGTTGTACATGAACTGCCCAAGGAGAGTGCCCTCCTCTTCTCTTTCCTCTTTCAAACCCTAAGGGGAACAAGCAAAGAGGGGAAGGGAGGTAGAGAGGGAGAACGTGAGGTGATCAGAGAGTCCAGGGCAGGAGTGGGGGATGGAGACAAGGGCGTTGGACACCACGCCTGCTTTCCAGGTCAAAACACACAAATGGGAACAGGCACCGGTGGGGAGAGGTGGGGGAAAGACGAAGAGTTACACCTCCTTGCTTCCCTTTCCCACCACCTACCTCCCAGAGACACTCACACCCCAAAACCCTGCCCTGAGCCTTGTGCTTCCCCTTCTCTTCTTCTTCCACAGGGGTTGCTTATTTATCCTCACTAGACTAAAATGCACCCCTCCTAGAGCACCCCACAGCCAGGTACGGAACCCACTCCTCACCCCATTTCTCCAGCATCATCCCCTCCCCTTGCCTCTCACCCTCAAACACATCATCCTCTCGCAACCCCCTGCAGAGTCCCCTAGTATCCACCTTTTCCCTGGGGTCCAGGAGAGGATACTCACATAGACAGTGAAGTCCTTGGGAGCACTGGGGATGGTCCCCTGGGGCGAGAGGTTTCTCGGGATGTGTTCCAGCGTCACAGCCGTGGGACGGATGGGGCTGGAGAGGCGGATGACAGCGAACCCCTGGGATCCGCGAAACGCCCAGCAGTTCCCAGGGTTGACGTCTGGCTACGCACATGGGAACAAGACAGCAGCTCTTAGGCATCAGGAGGAAGGTTACTGCCATTAATGCTGTTTTTCTCCCACTGTTACCTAGGCTCCCTCACACTGGAGCATTTTCAGGCTCCGTATGGACATATTTATACCCCACAAGATGCTGCCCCCTCTGGAAAGAAGCACAGCAGCTATTAATGGCATGGGGAAGAATGAGGGAATCACACTGCTCCAAACCAACTTCCTAAGTTGCTGTAAAGAAAGTCCCCCTTCTTCACAGCATATAGTAAAGAACAAGGGCCAGGCTGGGCCTGGGCTAAGCCGAACACCCAGCTCAAGGAGAGACAGTGCCAGGTGGAATCCAGCAGCCACAAAGAAGGGCGGCTCAAGTCCCCATGGAGGAGAACAACTCCTTGGTTGTTGTGGTTTTCCACACTCCTTGGAGTGTGGAAAATAAGCACCTCTCAGGGCACCAGCACAGTGAAAGGTGAAGAAAAGAGGGGTATGAGTGGCCCTGGAGAGGAGAAACAAGCTGGGACAGCGAGAGCAGGGGCTCAGGAAGAAAAAGAAGAGCGCCCTCTCTAAGCTCACTCAAGCAATGGGACGGAGCAAATCCAGCGGGGATTTGGGGAAAAACGGGGATGGCAGAGGCGCGCGCCCTGCTCCCCCCGGTGCTCACCTGCAGGATGACGCGTGGGGACTGCGAGTGGTACCACAGCGGGATCCCAAACAAGCTCAGCAGCGCCGTCTTGGTCTCGTAGGTTTCGGAGCAGCGGGTGTTAATGACGCTGGCCCCTGGCACGGAAAGGGGCCCACACGAGGTGAGGCTGCAGCGCCCAGTCCCGGGGCACTGCGTGCGCTGCGGCTGCCGCGCCGCCGCGGGGAACCCGGGCAGCGTTTCCCAGGTTTGGCTCCCAGGGCAAAAGGTTCCTGCAGCCTCGCGAGGGGGCGAGGGACCCCCGCCTACCTGCCGACTCCAGCGCGTAGTCCACCATCCCCACGCGGTCCTCGCTGTAGCGCTGCAGGGCCTGGCTCACGATGAGATGCACTTGCTGCAGGAGGAGCACAGGGCACGAGAGGGCTGAGGGGCTGCCAAGGGCACCCTGCCCCGAGCGCACCCCCCTGGCACATCCAGGGACAGATGTGCACCCGCCCTGGGCTATCGCCTCCTCCTGGGGCAAAGACCTTTTCCCGAAGTAGCCAGGGGGTAAATTCAGGCAGCAAAAGCATGAGGTTGTGCATTTGGCTACAGAGCATCATTAGGTGTTTCCTAAAATATCCTGGTTGCAGCTGCCATGCATTGAACTGGCAATGTACAGGCATGCTGGATTCCCCCTTCCCATCCCGATGGATGGGCTGGCTGCCCCAGAGGAGCTGGATCCCCTGCAGGTAGCGGGCACAGCCCTGCAGCTCGTGTGCCTCTCCGAGTTTCACCTGCTGTCCCCTCCACCCGCTGCTTCCCCCTCCTCACAGGGGCCGACACCAGCTTGCCCTATTTGGCAAACCTGGGGCTGCAGCACAAGCATTGCACAGGGTCAGACAAGCCACTGAATCCCAGCAAAAAAGCTTCCACTTCTCCCAGATAGGCAAACAAGAAATAAATATATCCTTCAGGAATTCAATCCAAGGGAGGGATCCAGCATCACTGTTTTGTGTCTATATTTTATAGCATTCATGAGGCCTGAGTGGACTGTGGGAGAGAGCCTGCTGTTAATCCCTGTTTTTGCCTCTCTCCATGTGCCCTCCATAGAGAATTGCCAACAAATCTTTTCAAAACAAACAGGCTCATTTTTTCCTGTGGTGTCATTCATTTAAAATGCTTTG